TTTTTTTTTTTTTTATTCGTTTCGAGAGAGTTTCGGAATAGTACTGGTTATAACTCAGGTCGGTGTTCAACGAGTTTCCGGTTCTGTCGACGATCCGAGATTAGATCAGACGGAATTATTTCATTAAATAATGTGGCATTGCGTTTTCAGTTTGAAATTTTATGTTCAATCGCCTTGGGTATTATATTTTTAATTTGATGTAAGATTTTTGTTTGAATGTAATATGAAGTTCATCGTGACAGAGAGATTCGGAAGACCAAGTTCTGAAGTTCGAGCAACAGATCCTTATTATATATTGAAGTTTCTTTTTGTATAATATAAAGTTTTGTGTATTATAATATAGTATTTTTTTTTTTTTTATTGATAAAGATTCAAAAGATTCGATTCTGCAGCTATAACGATAGACTTTGTTCATTTTTGATCAATTTCAAATCAGTTCCGTCGATGATTCATGAAATTGGATAAATTTTAATTACAATCTTTCTTTAAATGTTAATTTTGCATGTTACATTTTTTCTTCAAGATTCTTATATTTATGAAAGTTTATGCATTCTTGATAAATATACATTCGATAGACTTTAACCTTGGTTATTCGTTCTGTCAACGAATCGAGATCAGACCAGATGAAGTTTAATTTCATCAATTAAATGTAATGTTATGTTTTCCATTCCATATTTGTATGGAATTTTATCTTAACAAATAGTAGATTTAGAAAGCCAAGTTGTTAAATTCAGAAAAGTAGACTCTGACGCTCTGATTTTTAATCGGTTCCCAATTCTATCAGTAATTCGTAAGATCAGATTTAAATAATTAATTATAAATTAATTAAAATCTTTTCTTATTTATTTCTTCTCATTTTCTCTCAAGGATACGTATATCGTTGTGTGTTGTTAATCTACTTCTACTAAAAAGTCTACTCGAGAGACTAAATTCCGGTTTTCCAAAGGCAATTATTCAGTTTCTAGTTCTGTCAATGATTCACCAAAACAGATATTGAATAAATTTGAATGATGGCAATGAAGATTTTCC